GATAAAGAGTAGATTAGGTCTTTTCACATAATCTCATATTTCCTGGAGTCTTTGTTCATTTCTTTTTACTCTTTTTTCTCTTGTCTGGCCTCCTCTTTTTATTTCATTGAATTGATGTTCAATCTCTGATATCCTTTCTTCTGCTTTATCAATTTGGCTATTAAAACTTGTGTTTGCTTCATGTAGTTCCCATGCTGTGTTTTTCAACTCCAACAAGTTGTTTATGTTCTTCTCTCAGCTGGTTATTCTAGTTAGCATTTCATCTAACCTTTTTTCATGGTTTCTGGTTTCTTTGAATTGAGTTAGAATGTGTTCCTTTAGCTCAGAAAAGTTTGTTATTATCCACCTTCTGAAGCCTGTTTCTGTCTGTTCGTTGCATTCTTTCTCGGTCATGTGTTCCCGTGTTGTTGAGGAGTTGTGATCCCTTGAAGGAGAATAGATGTTCTGGTCTTTGATGGTTTCATCTTTTTTGCACTGTTTTTTTTCCCATCTGCGTGAATTTTCCTGGCTTTGGTCTCAGGTAGCTGCTTGATGAGGTCACTTGTCTGCTTGCCGGGATGCTAGTTGGTTTCTGTGGACTCCTTCAGGTTGCTAGGTAAGCTTCCTGTGTCTTTTTTGCTTACACTGGGAGTTTGGGCCTGCCTCTTCTGCTGACCTGGAGGTACTGCTGCGTGGTCAAGAATGCAGTCCCGTTGCCACCTAGGCTTCCTGTGTTTTTTGTTAAAACCTGAGGCCTAGTCCCACCCCTTTAATGGTGGGCTATGTCCTTCCTCCGCAGGGCTGGATCATTCAGGGTTCAGCTCAGACTGTGGCACTGGTTGCGCAACCCACTAGAGTTAGTGCTTCGGCCCTCTGGGGTTTGTGGGGGAGGGTAGGGACCTGCCCAGCCGCACTGCCTGTCTCCCAGTTTTCAGCTCCCTCTCTCCGTTCATGGGGGAGGGGCCCACCCAGCTGCTCAGTCTGTCCTCCAGCCATCAGCTCCCTGTTTCTCTGGGCAGGGGGAGGGAGCGATAGCTCAATCCACAGGCTCTCCCGGCTGGCTTATGGGCTTATGCATTTGCTTAGATCTGTGCACCAATCCGGGACACCGTCCTGGATTATTATTCAACTCTGTGCTTGCAATTCTTGACACTCGTCTGGCAAAGATCCCCTGTTCTGTGTATTGCTGAGGGTTTGGGGGAGGCGCTGTATCTGGACCAGAGTGTCAGGGGGAGCCTCCGACTCACTGGTCAGATGCGCTTTCTGGGTGAAGCGGCAACCCTCCCTGCCTCTGTCTGCCCTATCGGGGCTTTGCTCACTGTTGGGCCAGACCCATTGAAATGCACCTGGCACCTCGGTTGGAGCTAGGAGATGTCTGGATTTCTTCATCTCTCTCGCTGGGTGTTGTGCACAGAGTTGTGTCTATTTGGCCATCTTGACTCCCTCCCTCCTTATCACCATTATTTAGATTGTGTGATAATCCACACAATGGTCAGGGTTAGTAATATTTTTTTCAGTTAGAGCAAGATCAAGATCATCTCTATAAGACCATAATTCTCACATTCAGATACACATTCTTCAGTGAGAAATAGAGTAATAGATGTATAGTTTGCTTCATAGTAATTGCATTTGCTAATGGATACATTGACATGGATAGTATATCATTTGTCATACTAGAAAACAGAATACAGACTGCTAACTTGGACAACCTAGTCATACTTCTAAGGAATTTCCCTACGTCCCCCTAGTTCCTTTTTCTACCCCCAACTCCTCTCTTTCAGCCTCCAGATACTATCTGATTTCCTCTCCCAAAATATGTATCTGAGTATGTCACTTTCTACTGAAAAACCTTCACTGATTATTTACTGTCTCTGTAATAAAGTCTCCACTCCAGTCCAGACCCTCTTGAAATGGTTCTCCCTTACTCATGTACATTCATTACCTTTTATGCCTCTGATATTCCTCATACAAATATAGATTCCCATGCATACTTTTCACTGCTCATTCTCCATCTGAGTTGGCCTCCTAGTCAGCAGGAAGAATAATTCTGCCAAATCCTTTAAGGCCCAAATTTTTACTTCTTTTATGGATCCACTGTAGTTGGAATAAATCTCAACTGAGATGGGGCTAATCATTTGGTCCTCTGTATTTCTGTAGGTCTTTATTGGTGGCTCATATACAGCACATTTAGGCTGCTTTGTGGTTTGGTTTGTTGCATGTTCATAAGTCTCTAGAGGGACAGGCATTAGATGTAAGCCATTTCGTATCCCTTATGGTATCTAGCATAATGTTCCAGAAATACAGAAGATACTCAGTGGATATGAGTTGAAATGTTTAAAAAGCTAGAAATCAGAGTATTTGCTTCTGACTTGGTTTATGATCTGTTTGGTTTAGATTTCTCCATGTAATGTGGCAAAATTGATTTCCTCTTTTTTTCTTAAGGAAGTACTTTGAGTTCATTTGTTTTGAGATGATAACAAAGCTTTAGTAAATTCCCTATGTGTAAAGAATTTAGAATTTAGATGCCTTCCATGGATCTTTTGAAACCTTTGAACTTTTTTTTTTTTTTTAATTTGAAATATTGAGATCTGGGAAGGGTGTTAAAGCTATTTCCTGATGTGGTATTGAGGTTGCACAGGAGTTGGAAGAATGACCATGTATTGTGTGAGCCTAGCAGTTTCCTTTGAAGTCAAACAATTTACCCTTAAGCAACAATCACCACCTCATGCTATTTTATTAATATATCCATACTTTTTACTTATATTAATTAAAATGGGTTGATAGCAAAGGCCATCATGGGAGATGTAGTATATTGAATTGTGCACACAATAAGGTTTTAAACAAGTGGCTCTATATATGTTATATTTTTGTGTCTTTCAGCCTAACTTTATTACTTTTTTGAGTCTAAAAAGCTCTGATAAGTCATCCATATTTTTTCTCTGTACAAATTAGTTCTATTTTTTTGCTCCATGTAGATTCACCCCTCTCATACCTGTTTTTAAATTTAAATTTAAACTGTTTTAATGACTTGGTCTGCTATTAATATTTTCTGGATATTGATCTATCACCTCATTATAACTTCAACAAAATCATTTTATAGAGTCGTTTTTTAGAATGAAAAGATGCCGGATTGGAGTTCTGTATTTTTAGCGTTTGCTGACCATATGATCTTGGTCAAGTTATTTCACCTTTTTGTGCTTCACTGTTAACATAGGAATAGTAATGTCCTTCTGTATCACTGGGTTGTTGTGCACAAAACATCACTTTGTAAATTCTAAAATGAAATATAAATGTAATAAAAACCACAATAATAAGTTGTTAGTTAAGCTTCAGTATTGGTGTGCTGATAAATATCTGAAAACAAGCTTCCTGTGGGTGGAAAACACTTGGTTTATAGCATTTGCCAAGTTTGGTGGTTCTGAATATCCCTTTCTTGGCTGATTTCAAGGTACAAATGAGACGTCTTTGGAGAGGGATGAACTTGGGAAGAGAAGAGCACAGCTGGCTTTTTGACAGTGCCTGTGAGCACACTACTGACTTTAGGGGGAAATTCTTCGTATTTCCCTATGCTTTTGATAGAACATAAAGAAAAGTAAAAGCATTCTACTGAAACTTAAAATCATAATTGAACAATTTTCCTGATGAGAGACTTTATTTTGTAAATTTATTTTGGGCTGTGAATGTAGGATTGCTCATTAAAAAATCAATTTCTTTGTTAATTTAATGTGGCATCAGGTCTTAGGTAAATTTTGTGGGGTTAATAAAATACAGATTTTGTCTAAAACTCCCAAAACTTCTTTCTTTCAGGAAATTGTTTCCATTGATTATGTTCCTACATACCTAATTAAACTCATATAATAAACTTATAAAAATAAACCTATATTTTAGGCATTATAACATATATTTTAAACAGATTAAATGTGATTGTTTACAGACTGTTAGCAACTGGTAGGTGTGTTTTGTTAGCGTTTCTAGTTGCACCAAATTGGCTTTTAAAACATGAAGATATTGTCCCTTTTGGGAGGCAGTGTGGCGTAGTTGAAAGCATGGACATTAGAAAGAATTCCTGGGTTCAAATCCTGACTCTCCATTTACTCACTGTATATCTTTGGGCAAGTGATTAGCTTTATTTTCTTTCTTCTTATTATGGCAATAAGGGCAATAGTAATACCTTATTTCATTCTCAAAGGTTGTTGTGAGGATGAGGAACAAGTATATACCAAAAGGTCTTGGAGCAGTGTCAGGAACATGGTGTTTACGTTATTGTTATTTTTAAAATTCTTTAAGTTCACATACCTGACAAATCTTTACTGAATTCTCTATATAGAATAGATTATTCTCAAAGTTTATTTTAAAAAGCTGATTCTGGTTATACCCTAAAGACCAATAAATATGTATTTTACTACACTACTGATATTGAAAAAAGTCACTGGTAAACTTTTTCATATTACATTTGTAGTTTCTTGGTTGTTACACTTCATAATACTTTTTAGCCCCATAAGAGTAGTATTGATAACGACCTATATATAAAAAGTACACAGTTATTTCATAGAAACCAGGAATGAAGTCGAACAGGAATGTTAAGCCCCATTTATAGACCAGGGAACTTATCAGTTAGTACCATCTCCTAGTATTTCCCTTTTGGGACACTTCTCTAATAACTCCTTCCCCTCTTATCAGAGCTGCTCTCTTTTCTTTGGATTTCCAAAATATCCAGCTTTCACCTTTGATAAGCACTTCTCATTCAATGTTGTCAACTAGATTGTTGCTTCTGACTCTCTTACTGTTTATATTTGATATATTTAGCATCTAGTCCAGTATCTATCACTTCGTAAATGCTTGGTAAATACTGATGAGCGATTGAATAAATGCAAAGAACATTTCCTGTTTGTTTAATGTTTATATATGAATTCTTTGAAAGAGCTAACTAAAATCTTGATGTGTTTTAAAATGTGTAATTTCTTTGGTGTATTGTGGCTATGGCTAGTGGACTTTCTCTTTTTTCCTTCTCTTTTTCTCAGGCTGAAAGCTTAGAAGAGAAGAATATGGCTAAAGTTCATCGTTGTCAGCTGGAGAAGTTGAAATCACAGTGTGACAGGCTGACAGAGGAATTAACCCAGAATGAAAATGAGAACAAAAAACTGAAGCTAAAATACCAGTGTTTGAAGGATCAACTAGAAGAAAGGGTAAAAATATGAGTGAATTCTAATTTCAAATTCTAATTTCAATTTTAATTTCTTCTAGAATATATTTTATATATTAATTAATGATAATTGTAGTCTTTCACAGGAAAGTTGTATTGGTACAGAAAAAAAATGACAGTTTATTAGAATGCTGTGACTTATTCTTTCAATCACTCATTCAGCTTCTAATACATTTGAAGTGCAAAAAATTGATTTTAATCTTTTTCTGTTTCTCAAAATAGGAATTTAGAGATGAAGTAGAAAAGAAAGAAATGATGATTTATTGAGGATCTACTCTATGTCAGATATTTATGCCACCTGATTTACCTATGTCTACTCATCATTTAATTCTTACAACTCTTTGGGTTAGTGTCTTAGTCTGAGCTGCTATAACAGAATGCTATAGATTGGATGGAATAAAAACAACAGAAATTTATTTCCCATGGTTCTGGAGGCTGGGAAGTCCAAGAACGTGGTGCTGGCAGAATCAGTGTCTGGTAAGGGCATGCTTCCTGGTTCATAGATGCTTATTCTTGCTGTGTCTTCATATAATGGAAGTGAAGAGAGAGCTCTCTTGGGTCTCTATAAGGACATTAATCCTATTCATGAGGGTTCTACCTTTATGACCTAATCACTTCCCAAGGGCCCCACCCTCAAATATTGTCACACTGGAGATTAGGTTTCAACTATGAATTTGGGGGATATACACGTTCAGTCTATAGCAGTTAGGTTTTATTGATCCCTTTTAATCTGTGACAAAACTGAGGCTTAAAATATGTAACGGTTAAGTGTTCTCTTATGTGGTAGGCACTGTGACTGTTAATTCTCATAGTGAGAAGGTTGTAACTTTGGTACATCCACACCAGGCTCACTGCTTTCCTTTGAGTAGACGTATAAAATTATTGGGTGACTTCCATATATCAGGTGTTGGCTATAGCAGATATTTTTAGAAGTCACTACTTCTGAGGTTCTCTTGTGGCAAAAAGTCAACTAAGAATAGATGACAGAATATTGAAATTTGTTTTCTCTGTCTTCCACCCGCGTCATGAAGGGCTTTGAAATTGAAGGTAATAGAAGTGAAATGTAAAAAATGACCATCAAAGTATGGATAATAGGATAAGACAGTATATACATGGGACAAATGAATACACATATGTCCTCAATCAGGGTTACTAAAATCTATGGTGAAAGGAGTTAGCACTGGGTGGGCTGTCATAAAACTACTCATAGGCCGGGCACGGTGGCTCACGCCTATAATCCCAGCACTTTGGGAGTTCGAGGCAGGTGGATCACGAGGTCGAGAGATCGAGACTATCCTGGTCAACATGGTGAAACCCCGCCTCTACTAAAAATACAAAAATTAGCTGGGCATGGTTGCAGTGAGCCGAGATTGCGCCATTGCACTCCAGCCTGGGTAACAAGAGTGAAACTCCGTCTCAAAAGAAAACACTACTACTCATAAACTTCTAGGTAGAAACTTCCTTAGTGCTTTGCTTACCTTTCTGCTTTTTGTTGTGTATCAAATGTTGCTACTATTAATATATAGAGAGAGTAGAAAAAATTATATGTAAAGATAAAAATTATATATATATATAATATATATAACATATATATATATATAATATATATAACAATTACTAGAGAACTATATATATATATATAGTTCTCTAGTAATTGTTAAAGCCAAGGAAATAAAGTGTAAGTTAGTTAGGAGTTTATGAGTAAACATGTTTATGTTGCTAAATTTAGGCCTACAGTCTTGACAGCAGCTGTCTGTTAGTTCTGTGTCATGCTTTGTTTGGATGGTGTCTAATGTTCATATGTATTTAATGTATTTATTGCCAGGTTGTAGTAGCTCTGGTGATAATGCTAAATTTTTCAACTTTTTCTTTTTTTTTTTTTTTTTTTTTTTTGGGGGGACGGAGTTTCGCTCTTGTTACCCAGGCTGGAGTGCAATGGCGCAATCTCGGCTCACCGCAACCTCCGCCTCCTGGGTTCAGGCAATCCTCCTGCCTCAGCCTCCTGAGTAGCTGGGATTACAGGCACGCGCCACCATGCCCAGCTAATTTTTTGTATTTTTAGTAGAGACGGGGTTTCACCGTGTTGACCAGGATGGTCTCGATCTCTTGACCTCGTGATCCACCCGCCTCAGCCTCCCAAAGTGCTGGGATTACAGGCTTGAGCCACCACGCCCGGCTAATTTTTCAACTTTTTCATAATATAATTCTAATTTATGAAATTAGCCAGAAGATTACATTGATATGTTTTATATTTCCTTAGCTGCATTTAAGAAATGGTGAAAAATTTGATATGTTGAAAATGTCCCCTGGTGTGTGATAGCTGACACCTGTAATCCTAGCACTTTGGGAGGCCAAGTTGGGAAGATCATTTGAGGTCAGGAGTTCGAGACCAGCCTGGCCAACATGGTGAAACCCCATTTCTGCTAAAAAGACAAATATTAGCAGGGTGTGGTGACGGGCACCTGTAATTCCAGCTATTCAGGTGGCTCAGGCAGGAGAATCACTTGAACTGGGTGGAGGAGAGGAGGTTGCAGTGAGGCAAAATGTCAAGTATACCTTGCTTACTTAAAATAAATGCTTCATCACAGATTCTATTTGTGATATTTCCGATGCATGTGTTATCACACATTCATGTAAGTGGAGCATTCACTTCAGAACAGAGCTTTAAGAGTTAATGATTTTATTATAGTATTGCTATCTATTGATCATGTGCTATGTGGCAGGCATTGTGCTGGATGTTGAGGATAAGACAGAGTTAAGATACAGGTTTGTTGCTGACTAACTGTATATTCAAGTCCTGACAATGGGTGCTAACGGAGAGAAAAGATGGTGTCTATAGCCTAAAATGGTATAAAATCTTAATCACACACACACACACACACACACACACACACACACACACACACAAACACACACACACACACATTCTTATATATGTAGTTTATATGCTTTCTAAACTTTGATATTTATTTTTGGTATACATGATTGCTATGTACTTTAAAGTGATTTGCCCGTTTGTGTTGATCTGATTTTTAGTTTAGTTAGCTATGAATCAAATTTTATTAGATTGAGCTAACTACAGGTAGGGACTTTCTCTTTGAGAAGTAGTATAGCAATAACGATTATGGGCAAAACTTTTGAGTTTGAATTTTTTTCTATCTGTGTGGCTTTAGGCAAGTTGTTTAAAATTGAAAGCCTCAGTTTTATCGTCCTTTAAATATGCATAATAATACCTTCTTTTAGGATTAAGTGTGAGAACGTATGTAAACTGCTTGGCATGGTATCTGGTGTCTAATAAGAAATCAGTTAGTGGTAGCTGCCATTATTTTGTTATTGTTATGTTTCCAAATATATGCGGACTACTGGTTTAACCAAGCAGTCAACTGATTGGCATATATGGAATGACTGCCTACGGTCAGCCTAAAGATGTGGTAGTAATAAAAAGAATGTACCTAGGATTTACCTAATAATAAAACCACAGAACTTTGCTGATTGGAAGTTTAGAACCAGACTATGTTGAATCATTTGAAACAGTTGATCCGCAAAGGAGGCACACATGTGAAAAGAGCTGGTAGGTTTATCAGTAAGTGATATTGAAAGCACGTGTGTTAAGCAAACCAATCAGGTGGGCAGCTTTATAATTATGCTTGATATTTGAGGACAGGAATTACATTTTGGTCATATTTCCATCTCCAAGACCAGGCACAGAGCCTGACACATAGTAGGTAATCTATAAGTAAATTATGGACAAAGAGGCATATTTGTACACACACACATACACACACACGCATACATATATGTATAAATGTAAAGAAATATGGATATACATACACACATGTATAAAGTGGCCTGTATAGGGCAGATAAAAGCAAGAAAACAAAATAAAATATGTTTTCAAGGAAGGAAAACCCAGTGACTAGTAGACTGAAAATTACAATGTAAGCAATGCAATGAACTTGATAAATGAGGGCTTATGGATTGAAGGGCCAGCTCTGCTATAATCAAAAGTGGTGGCTGGGAGGGTGGGTGGGGAGCTTTCTGATTTGCCTAACAAAGTAGCATTTTGCATGCCCATCCCCGACATCAGTGTGTGATGTTACTGAGGCTATCAATACACACAACCTTTTTTTAAAGCCTTGCTATTATTTTGCTGTGTGATTTGTTTTAGATATGTTTCATGTCATGTTATTATTACCTGATAAGCTAAGAAGTATTAAAACTGCATCAAAATTTATATAAACCATTAGCATCAGTGATAGCATCAAACAGTGGTAGAATGCTGCTGTTGCTAAATATCCACAAAATTACTGACTTTAGCATATTTTCCTCATGCATTCAGTGGTAATATGTGGAATTAAAATGCATTTTTTCCAGCATCTGATCTTGCTTTGTCAAAGGTTATTTTTCAGTTTTACATGACAAAGAGAACAAGTTTTATGCAACCCACAGATTTTTGCATATCCATTTGGTACTTTATTATGAGCTTCTAACCAGGGCAAAAAAGCTACCCTGAAATATTACAGAAAGAATTTTCTCCCATCCATGGTATCATTAAAATGTATTATTCCTTTTGCTTACATTTTACAGGGAAATATTTTATTTCTTCTTTTGTTTTAAATATTAATCCTTTGATTTTCCTGACATTTACCTGTTTGTTCTATCAGAAATATATTTTTATTGGTTTCACTGGAATCTGAATCAACGAGAGTTAGTGCATAATTAAATCATTTTTGCTCAACCAGTCAGCATTAAAGTTTACATAACTAAGGTTTTAAATGTCTGATCTATACAGATCTGCATCTGATGTAATTTTTAAAAATCTTATGCAAATAGCTATGAATTTATAAATGACATTGGCTATCTTTGTAAAGATACAAGTAATTTTGTAGTAGATATATTAAAAGAAAAACTGATTTTAATTTTGAACATTTTTGTATATTTTAAAAAGTTAATACTGAAAATTGACATTATTTTATAGATTAT